GTGTGAATAGACGCTCTGTCCTTTGCGTCTTTTTTTGGATTGTATTGTATCCGCGTTTCTCCTCAAATGGTCTTATTTTCGTGCGATATCGTACTGCTTTTTACCTCACAGTGCCATGCTTCCTCTGAGGCGACCCGACGTGAGGCGAAAAGTCTGCCTGGACCTCCTTCAGAAGTAAACCTTCAACATTTCTGGATTCCTCGACCGTTTTTCATTCTGTGTTTTGGAAGCTATAAATCACGTTTTGGATTAAATATATGCTGAAACGGAAAGTCTGAAACCAATTCCTGGTCTATATTCATACGTTTATCGTTTTATACATATCCTACAATACATGTATCCAAGTGAGCATCTTATTTCGAGACTCTGGACCCGGAGGAGGTGATTTAGACAGCATCCATCTGAAGATCCCGGACATTTCTGTGCTGCTCTGAACTTGAGGCGTTTGGATGCTCCAGGACGGAGGTAACGCAGGTATTTCTTTCATTTTTAAGGATTTAAAACGCCAACAAAACACTCTGCGATCCAATACTTTGGTTATTAGCATCCACTTTGGAGATTACGCTTGGTTTACACTCAAACGCCAGTCTGGTGTTTAATAAATCAAACGTTAGAGGTCAAATAATGAGCTATTGTTTGATTGTGATGCGATACCTTGACATAATTATGCAATCTTCAAGACAAATTCGTGTTTTGGTGGATTTGCTTTGGTTATGCGCATCGCAAGACTTGGTCACATTAACAGAAGACCGACATTTTGATGAAAATAACTTATGGGATTTGGCATCACTGCTGTTGCCAGTCAGAAAACGTTGATTGATCTTCCTCTTGAAGGACCTTTGGAGATTCCTCTAGTCATTAAACTTTCCCTTGGACGTTTCTTTCACATTTAAATGTCAGTGTTTGGAAATGGGACGCCATAGGTTATGTAAAGGGTTGCTCGAGAGCCCAAGTTGCGCTTTTGAACGGTTCCTTCAGTTGGACAGAGGAGGATTGTTGGGTTAATCGGTAACGCGGAGCGCAATGAAAACACAGTAAGACCGATTTGGGAGATGAGATAAACGCAGCGGGTCCGGTACCGCAGTCCAGGTTGAGTCCCGGAGCTCGCGGTGCTGTTGTTGGGGTGTGTCTGTCTGCGGCTGGGAACGCGAATGGAGCAGCGGCCGCTGGGGGCCACTGGCACATAACTCACTCACTCACACACACACACACACACACACACACACTCACT